AACGTTTTATGTTGTCTTTTTCTGTGTGCACGGAATTTTAATAGGAAGGAAAGAATGTCCGGCCTCGTTAGTTCTCGTTATATAACCATTGTGGAATTATTCATGAATGGATGAAGAGATTTATGTCTTTTATTGGATATTAATTGACAAGGGCGACAATCTGATAAAAAAAAGGTATATTTTTCGAAAATGGTATATTTGCATCAAAAGACACAGGCCCATATTTATGGAAGTAGTAGAAAGTTATATCCTCTCATCAAAGTTAGGTTGTTTGCTGAATATTGATTTTGCAAGTTGTACCGAATATATGGACTTTTCAACCTGTAAAATTGACATCACTATATAATTATTCTTCTAGATATTATTTTTGTTCTATGTAAAATAAGGCAAAGACCAAAGAGAAATGGTTCGAGCAGATGTCGAAGTCAAAGTCTAAATAGAAACGATCAAGGGAGAATTAGGGACTTTAGGAGGAGACGTTAGGAAGAAGGACACTGAAGTAGAAGTTGGAGAAAATTTTCTATGAACTCAACATCAAAAGCAGCGTCAAAATGGGTAATGGGTATATCAAACCACCAACTTTGATGAATATTGTTCCCGAATGACATTTATATCAGAAACTTTCTCTCCATTCTTCCTTATCTATCGCTCTATCATTCATATTTTTTTTAAATGTTATCTTTCCATATTAGCGCCGGTCCTCCTCCGTTCCTGCTGTTCGATGGAATGTACATCAATGCTCTCTTTGGCCATCTCTCCTTCTTCATTCTCATAACATGTCCATACCATTATATGTGCTGGCGGGTGTCTATTCTTCCGGTGGTCTAAAAATAAGTCCCGTTCTTCTTCGAATTTCAGCGTTCTTTATAATATGCTCCAGTCTTGGAACTCTACATGTCCGTCTGAAAAAGTTTGTTTCCACTGCATCAACCTTCCTTTTGTTTCGTTTCGATAGCTGCCAGCATTCAGCTCTGTACGTCAATATCGGCTCTACCATTGCTCCCTAGATTGTCATTTTGTTTTTATGGAAATCTGAGAGTGAAGAATTCAGAATGTTAAAGGGGGTGTGACACAAAAATAAAAGTTTTAGTGCAAAAAAATCTAAGAATAAGTATTTAAACCGCATCTTGCTACGATGGTCCGTTTTCGAGTTACGGCGGCCTAAATTTACAACTAGGTGTTTGTGACGTCACACTGGATTATCAGGGACAGTATAAACACGTGTAAGAATTTTCCAAAACAAAAGACAATTATCTCCTAGAGCGAATTGCAACCACTCAAAGTATAGGGTACGGTTCACTGGCGACTGAACGAATAGTAGAAGACTGCGATTTCGGCGATTGTGACATCACAAGTTCCTGCATAATTTATCTTCACAAGGAATTTTCTCGAAGACTATTTTGAATATAGGAATGCGGTTTTCACGAAATATCCTAGAATTTTGTTCTCGAATTAAGTAGCTTAAGTCGTTTTTTAGAGTCACACCCCCTTTAACGTTCTTATTCAGTCGTCTATATATTCTTCCATCTTTTGGATTTGCCGAATTCAACCACTCCTGGTAAGCGACCTCTTTGGCTTTTATTACTATTTATGACCTCCATTCAGGATTGTGTTTGTTTAGTTTGTCTTGAGTTCCGTTTTTCCTGAAATTTACCACCGATTGTGCTATAACCAGATGATGGTCCGATCCTCGCTACGATACGTCCTTACGTCATTTATCTTCATTCTGGAGTGTTGTCTTTGATTAACTTCCTTTGATAGGCTGTAGCCAGGTTAATTCATGAATTTTAGGCGGTAAAGTCGGTTCATTATCGCCAGTCAGAAGCTTTGACATATGCTTATCATCAGCCGTTGTCCATTTTCATTCCTTGCTTCTTCTCCATACTGTCCTACAATCAGGTCTTTTATTTCTTCACCAAATCTCGCATTTAAGTCACCGAATTTCACTTCGCGTCGTGAATCGAACTATCTGCGGGATCAAAAGCACCGTCCATCTAAAACGAATTAAAGATGGCGAATAAATCTAACAACCACCGGTGACCATCCAAAGCAACGATCAGAATGCTCTGGTCAGAACACTCAAGAAGAAAATAAAATTAAACCAACCCAGAGTTTTTAGTAGGAACATAAAAATCTACCCAAAGACTGGTCTATCCTCCGATCCCTGAATGAGTAAAAATAACTATATTACTTTACAATTAAAAGTGAGAAAAGGCCCTAGGTGTGACCATCCGCCACCAATCAATAGACAATGCACTGTAGAGATATCAAGGACCATCTCGTAGGAATAGGCTTCCCAGATTCCAAAGAACAACAACCAGCTGAACCCGAATATTTGGACCATCAGGCGTATTATGAAGCTAGACGGTTGAATCGGGGATATGATTCGCTCTGAGTTTGGACACACCATATCTCAACACACTCCGCTGGAAATACCGTTCCAATACCTGCAAGTTGCCTTGATCAACGAAGGAAAAAAGACCAAATGTATCAGTTTGGATTCTCTTCAAGCTACCGCGGATGCCATAGGTATTTGAAGCTTGATACCTCCGAGCAGTTCAGAGGGGACAACAGGAGGAACAACCCCAACAGCAGGGCTGCTCCCATCAACTAGTGATACAGGAACCTGTAGTTCAACTCAGAAACTTGATGTTGAAGAAATAACAAACAGGACATGAGGAAGTCAACAACAAATCCCATTTACAAGATATGCGACATATCGATATCGAAGGATATCCCAGAAGCTGATGGAATAATTGCAATACTAGTCAAAAGATTATTGAGACACTCTTCACTAAGAATTAATTAGGAAGTTAAGATGCCGGCAATAACCGGTTTAAATCAAGTCATATAAGAGAAAAGTGATTTCAGCCTACTTACCAAAATCCAATATTGAAAGAGAATATTCAAGATCTGTAACAAAACTCACCATCATCAACAGCAAATGGAGAAAGGCTTATTTAGTAGAAAGAAGCAAGAAGGGTCATCGAGGGTCGACACGTTCCATTCTGATGAAACAGAACGAGGCCGCCCATGAACATTGGACATGGCTGTTATTTGATATGTTACAGAAGACTTCTACTTGGAAAATGTTTTTCGGATCACCAACCATCGAAATACAAATACGAGAAGAGAACACTCAAACCCAAATAACTAGCTAGCACAACTTTGGGAGTATACCTGAAGACAAGATAATCATCCCAATGATTCGCAACCTTGTTTAACTGGAACATGCCAGACTTTGCAGGGATCTTGGAAGATGCTGTCATCAAACCAACGATGAGACATCCGGATGGTGGATTTCACATAGAGGTGAAAGCCTTTGAAAATAAGTAAATACGGAACTTGAACATGAAGAGAATTGCACCAGATCAGCACAGACTCCTGGACACCCAGGCTTTGATGAAATTTGGAGCAGAAGACGGAATAGGATACCAGAAGAAATCAACATAGAAAGTACAGAAACAACTCTAGAGCGAGAGGACAATCATGTCAAGAATGCCACAAGATGGCGTACAGAAATGATGAAGGGGCTTTTCTAGTTTCAGAGGTTCAGCTCAATGAATATACCTCGAAATATATACGAAGACTAATCATGGGAGTTGAGTGAATAGCAAGAAAACTACGGAATCAGGACACTGGAAGCCACATATTAGAATACCATAAATGTACTTCGAAAATTCAGATAATACTTAATAGATTAGACAAATACATATCTAGGACAAAGTCTTGAATAAAGTTCAGATACCAATAAGGAAAGCCGTGGTGGCTCTATGACCTTAATGTTGAGATGAGACCACTTCCCGAAGTGCTGGTAGCGACCGGAAGTCATGTTGAGTTTGCCTATTCTGAGACAAAGTATCAGAGAGAAGCATCAGCTTCGGGATAGATAAGGGAAACTGAAGACCTAGAGTTGAACATGCAACAAAGCTACTTTTGCTCTCCGAATAGTCGAATACGTTCAGAAAGAAATCTATCTGGAAAAGATGTCAGACTAGATGTCGAACATTTTGATAGAGTTTGACAAGATAAACTGATCCACAAGATGACTCAAGGCAGGGCAAAAACTTGAAAATGGGTTCAGAATAGAATCACATAGCTGGTACAGCCTTCGCCGCAGACACTGCTAACACCATTCAACAGCAAGAGAGCTATAGAAGCCATGGATGCACAAAGTACAACATCTACACTGGAAACTTTTCGAAGACACTGGATGCAGAATGTGTGCAATCCTTGCACAGATAAGAAGTTCAGATTGAATCAGAAACTATAGAAGAAAACGGATCTGATTTCAGCTTGATGGAAAATCAAGATTAACCGAACGAAGAGGCCATAATCCATAGATTATACGAGACCAAGGAATCAGTAGGACCCTGGATAGGACTAACTCAGCACCATCAGATTGACTACATTGACCATTATCAGCTCCATATTTCTACTACCAGATAAGACAAGCTCAAATGGGTTCCAAAATACCTATAACCCATTATTCTTTTTCGTGGAACAACCAGGCCCAAAAATGGCATTTTTTTGCAGCTTGTTGATTCTGTACCTCAAAAGTGGTTAAATTGACAACTTTGAGAAGCTGTTAGTATTTCTGAAAGTAGGCATATTATATAAACAAAAGTTGATAAAGAACTCAATGTGTTCTCTAAAGAGGACATTTGTCGAAATCCATGAGAATTCTGCAATACGTAACGATTTGAAATTACATTCTCAGTGTGCCTATTCTCGACTAGGTTCCTCAATAGGACGAAAACTGTTCCATCAAAAAGCACTACAAGTATTTATGTCAACAGTTGTTATCTAGGAACCTGATTCTTAAAATGATGAAGAACGAGTCCCTTGTCTTTATCAGAGCAATACAAAAAATCATCAGTCCAGAAATGTATCATTCAAGATATGGAAAATTCCTTGAAAATAACCTAGAATAAATTATTAAACACTTCAGTTGGGATAAAATAACACCTGATCACCTACTAATTAATACAATGACTCACCTGTAGTAATCCTCCTTGCAATATATATTTCCATCCCTAGCGAAGCAAGTCAGCTCGGTGTCCAAAGGCACTTTGCACTCGCAACATTTCAAACAGCATGCGTGCCATTGTCGGTCAACAGCCAATAGATAGAACCGATCGTGGATTCGGGTACCGCACCCGGCGCAAGAGGAAGCTTCGCCCAGCGAGGAACCACCCATGCTGGAACACGGGGACGTCGGTACGCGTTCGATCGTTTCGCGTTCTTTCAACATAATAATTCGATCTGAAAATAAAGTCAAGACTGAGCTCTAGGCTATTTAGCATGCATATTAGACGTAAACATTCGGAATTAATTGCATGTGAAATAGTAATAGACCATTAAATGTATAGCAGGTTTAGGTACTATACCTAATAGCAGGAACGATGCTTTTATTAACCGCTATAATCGGACGCCGTTTGACTTCCGGTTTTAAAGCTGGCGCCCACACTCGTTGTCGCCACGGATTCCATTTTTACGATATTCGGAGAGGTTTTCACATTGAAAGATGACTTGAAGAACAAAGGATAATGGATCATTTGGAGGTCAAAAGTGGTTTCTTCCAAAGGCAATGTTTTGATTATAGGCTTTTGTATACTCTAGCATATAGTTTTTCTACCAAAATTCACTTTGTACGCACAACACAAAGAGGATCGAACACACAATGCCCTATGCTGTTGTAGTATTTTATAGAAGGATATCTTCTTCTTTTCGTCCCTTCCAAGCGATTGTAATACGCAGACCAAGGGGGTTTTGGGTTATTTGGGCTCCTTAACTTTTTAAACGATTATTGGACCAACAGTATATATGGCATTTGAGACTTTCCTGCTTCAAGATATACCTTACCGGAATGCTTTATTTGAACCCAGCTGTAAATTTCATTGTTCTTTGTTCATGTTCTCTTGTATTTAATAATTGTTAACCAGTTTCATCTAGATGTCAAGTTTTCAGTTTTGTCATCTTGTCAAATCAGTACAATAAATTATCTTATAAACGTCCTTCAAAGCACCTTTTTTTAAACTCCGAAAATATGGCGAGAGAATTGAAAAATTGAATTTATTTGAACCCAGCTGTAAATTCCATTTTATGTTCCCTTGTATTTAATAATTGTTAACCATTTCATCTAGATGTCAATTTTTCAGTTTTGTCATCTTGTCAAATCAGTACAATAAATTATCTTTTTGTCATACGCTCCCAAAAACAGCTATTTTACGGACTCATTCAAGTCCGTAAAATGCTTCTTTTTAGGACTTTTTTTTTCTGACTGGATGCACCTTTATTATTTCAAAAATTAAGGAAATTTTGCAAATTTTAGCGTTCTGAAGAATTCTAAAAAGCGTATGACAAAAAATAGTGTTTGTCACACGTACCTAACGAAGTTTTTCAGGACTCATCTGCTATTCCGGACGAGGCATTCTTCATTTTAGGTACTTGTGACAAAAATAACTATATAAACGTCCTTCCAAGCACCTTTTTTTAAACTCCGAAAATATAGCGAGAGAATTGAAAAATTGAATACAACAGTTCGAATGGTACGCTATATAGCTACACAATTATCAAAGAAACACAAAGAAGTTCAAGCAGCTACATTTATGACTACCATTAGCCCAGATGCTGTAGAAATATTCAATAATTTTGGATTATCTGATGATGAGAAGAAGGATATTAGCGTAATGAAGGGTAAATTTGAAGAATATTTTATTCCTAAAACTGTTGGTTAAAAAAGAAGAAAGTCAACACATTAGATGAAGATGATTCAGAAGATGAAATAAATGCAGTGCTTTTTGTGCATTTGCTCAATACTAAAAAAGATAGCGACTGGTATGAAACCATAACAGTGAAAAATAAATCACTTTTGGCAAAGCTCGATACTGGAGCCCAATGTAATGTTCTACCAAAGCGGATTTTTGATAAACGATAATTGCAGTTAAAACCTTCAAATGCTAAAACTTTGGTTAAATGACAAAATAGCTGTAATAGGTGAAGCACAAGTGATATGTCATATTGATAAAACCTTAGTAGAGGTAATATTTAAGATAATCGATGAAGATGTGCAGCCTATTTCAGGAAGAAAATCCTGTCACGAACTAGGTTTAATTGTACGTATACATTCCTGCGATACAACAAAGTCCAATGATAGCATTTTTCAAGGAATGGGTTGTTTAAAAAATTATGAATACAATATTGATTCCATAGACAATCCAAAGTTTGAAACAAGGCCTGCAAGAAAAATACCCTTAGTCATACGAGATAGTGAAAAAAGAATTGGAATATATATGGTTAAGTTAGGTGTCATCAAGCCCGTCACAGAACCTACTCCTGAAGTCAGTCCGTTAGTAACTGTTAGGCAAAAAGGTAAATTGAGAATTCGCATAGATCCTACAGATGTTAACATAACAACAACATAACAAATATCCACTGAAAAGAAATTTCAGCACAAATACGTGGAGCAAATATTTTATACTTTTAGAATGCAAATGAGGGTTTTGGAAAATAAAAGTTGCAGAGCAGTCTCAAAAATATCTCACGTTTTCGACACCATGAGGGCGTTATAGTGGCACTCGTCTACCATTTGGAAACTGTTCAGCACCAGAGGTATTTCAAGAAATAATGAGTTCCTTGTTAAAAAACATTCCAAACACTCACTGCTCAATGGACGATATTCTTATTTATTCCGACTCCCAGAAAGGTGTAGAAAAAATTACTAAAAAAGTAATGAAAAATGCATTTTCAATGTTAAAAGAGTTAAGTTAAAAATACCAACAAATATAACAGAACTACAAAGGTTGCTAGACATGATAACATATTTGAATAAATTCATACCAAATATGTCTGAGCTTACAGATCCTTTGCGGAAGCTTCTAAAAAGAGATATTGAATTTATTTGGGACATAGAACAACATGAAGCTCTCAACAAAATAAAGGTACAGTTGACTAGTGCACCTGTTCTGAAATTTTATGATGTAAACAAGGAAGTTACATTATCAGTAGATGCTAGTTCGAAAAATTTAGTAGCTGCCTTGATGCAAGAAAATCAACCCATTGCACATGCTACTATAGATCATTAACACCGTCACAGCAAAATTGGCCTCAAATTGAGAAAGAACCGTATGCAATAAAATTTGGATGTGATAAATTTCATCAATATGGCAAGAAACTCACAGTAGAAATAGACCATAAGCCATTAGAAGCTATTTTCACATTGCGCCACCTATAGGCTATAACAAACAAATTCGTTAATCGATAGCAAAAGAATCGGCCCTTTAACGAGCAAGAGAAGTAGTTTACTGGAGCTGGATAGGAATATCACAAGATATTCTTAGTTATGATCAAAAATGCAGAGTTTATGAAAAATATCAAAGAGCTATAATCAAAAGGCAACAATTTTACTGAAGCCACTACCAGCATTACCATGGCAAATAGTCGGCTCTGATTTGTTAAGTGTGTATGGAAATGTTTATATTACTATTTACGACAGTTACTCTGGGTTTTTGGACGTGAAAAAACTCAGAAATCAGACATCCTTGGAAATAATCGGCTAAATCAAAGAATGGTTTGCAGTTCATGGAATTCCTGAAATACTAGAAACTGATAATGGACTGCAATAAACTTCTAGAGAACTAAAAGATTTTTCCAAAAAATGGTGTTTTCAGCATGCAACTAGTAGTCCATATCAACCAAGAAGCAATGGTTTATCAGAAAGAGGTGTTCAAATTGCGAAAAATCTGTTAAAAAATGTACAGACGACAAATCAGATATACAAATTGCTTTACTCAACTACAGAAATACACCTAGAAACCAGTTACTGGGTTCACCTAATCAAAGACTTTTTAGCAGAATTACTAGGACATTACTTCCAGCAAACAATGAAAAGTTGGAACCAAGTATTGTAAAAGATGTCACAAAGGAATATGCAGACAGACATGCCACTCAGCCCCAGAACTATATATAAAATAGGAGATTCTATTAGAGTACAACTTCCCAACAGACAATGGGAAGGTGAAACCATAACAAAAGTTGATGATCAAACCAAAAATGACAGTATTCTTACGAACATCGGACGGCAAAGAAAAAAGAAGAAATAGTAGTCAAGTACATAAAACAAAAGCTGATTTAAACATAAATATTAACGAAATAGTTGTGACGCCTACCAGTCCAGAAAATCAGGAGCATAATCAATCAATAGTCAAAGAAACTTCAACTGGTCAACCAGAAACTCTAACAGAACCACCGGTCGAACAGATGGAACTTTCCAATGTTATTCCGAAAACAGACGGACAAAGTCTGGAAGAATAATCAAACCCGTCCTTAGACTAAATTTGTAGATTTATTCCATTTATCTTTAAATTTGTTAAGGGGAGATGTTAATTATATTTTTTCTACTGACATTTCATAATACGCTATTAAACGATTAAAATCTGTATCATAATGAACTTCATTACGATACCGATTTTCATTATAATACTCATTTTTAATGTTATACAATGTTGATAGATGGCAGCACTAGTTAAGATATTAAACATTTTAAACGGTAATTTTGCGTAAAACAATTATTTTGATAACTATAAAAAAGAATCCGAATTGTTTAAAAGTTACCTAAAGTTTGGGACAAAGAATAATTATTATGGAAATCATGAATGATAAGGAAGAATTTTTACTCTTTTCATTATTATACATTGTCAATAGATGGCGCCACCTAATGTTTGGGATAAGGCATTAATATGGAAATATTGAGTGATAACGAAGAATTTTCACTAACACCTCCAGAAATTACAGAAAGGGCGACAAATGCAGGTAATATTATACTACCGGACAAGTCCAAGAAAATTTTCGAAAAATTATAAGGTCAGTTGGGGTAAATGTGTTATAGAATTCGCATAGTGACACTTTAGTGGCCGATACTTTGAAAACCAAAAACATCAAAAATTTAAAAAAAAAAATTACATAGTGTATCGTGATGTTATTCAACACTTCTGAGTATTTTTTTTCTGATAGGGTCCTTTTCTGATTTTCCCGCAATTTTTTTTTAAAACTATGTTGTTATATCACACTTACCCCTCCTACTGGGGCAAATGTGATAATGGTCTCTGCTCTCTCATAGGCAGTTTATATACTTTTGGGATGGGGTTATTGTGAAAGAGCGGATTTTTTTACATAAAATAGATTATTTGTGCGGCTCCTATAGGGGCCTCAACTTCAGGGTTTTGAAATAATACGCCAAGAAGTGAAAAAACGAAAATAAAACTTTTATTATTGTTTACGAGGAACAGGTAAAAAACTTAATAGGAATTCTCTTACATTAAGTATAAACGTTTTTAGGCATTTCAACTTATTTCTAACTTAAATATGGTTACTTTTTTAGCTTTTTTTTAATGTTGAACCCTGTAAAGGTTATATTAAATGAAATTATGCCCCTTCGATCAATTACAGGTTCAGGAAGCAC